GGGGGGGGGGGCAAGCGGGAAGATTAGCTGTAGTTTGGCGATGTTTTCAAAGGATTACGGGAAAATGTCAGCAATGCAATGGTGCACACTAAAGACACGCGGTAGTGAATCTCACCTCATTAGCTGCATGAGTGGCAGCAAGCACCTACATCATCGATCGAGACAAGAGGTGCAACAAGGCCAATAGCTCGTGCCCAGACAAGTCGGAACACACAGGGTGCCTAAATAGGTACTCTTGCAACAACAGCAGCAACAGCTGCAACACACGAAGCAGCAGCAGCAGCACCACAACCACCATCAACAACAACAGCAACGAGAACGCGAGGCCGAGGAGGTAATCACCAAAGTCCCGGGCAGCAGCTCGTACCCACCGCCACGTAGTTTACGGCGCCGCCGATGTGTCTGGCCGCGAGGGCCGAGGCAATCTTCCACCCATCCCCGCCGAGACCTAAAGGCACAACCGCCGCTGCGGCCGCCGTTCCGATCACAGTCCCGGCGGCGCCGATGACAAAACACGCCAGCAATGTCCCAGCAAACCTAATTGGAATTCGAAGAGTTTGAAAGGGGAGCGGCGGTGGGGGAGGGTCGCAATCGTTCACGGCCGTAGGCTTAACAGTCGGAAACTGCAGGACACCTGTTTCCGTGCGTGGGTATAGACTTTAGGACTTCGGAATCGACCCTCTATTCATATCCTTCACGATTGGGGCGCGGAGCAATGGAGAGTTGGGTTCTTGTCGTCATGTACCGGGGGGGGGAATTCAAGCGATTCGGTGGACCGGACTTCATGTCCCAACATGGTTATTCGTTGCGAGGGTCGGTACTCCACACTATGTGTTCCTGAGTTTACGACGCAGCATACTTAAATTTCTTGGCAAAGAAGCATTTTGGGCGTGAAAGAGAGAGGAATAAAACTTAAACTAGCCAGATGTGAAAAGGGGTGTTCGCCTCATGAACAATCACGTTGATGTCCACGTCTCCGCATTCCCGATCATACAAAACATTCGGACATGCCTTCAGCAACAAATTCCCCCGTGTTGCTGTGCGGAAGAGGCGGCCCTAAGGCAGAATGGAAAACCAAAGCATGGTGTCACCGGTGTACGCACCATCGTGTCCACAAAAAAGCTGAGCGTACGTGTGGGGACGATAATAACAACTCTGCTGCCACCCATCTGATCACCACTAGCCGACTACTGTTCCAACTGCAAGCCGAGCGACAACTACCACCATGTCACCTAAGGACTTTCTGGAGGTCGGCGTCGAACAGTAAGAGAGGTACGGCCAGCGGCACGAACACCTGGAATTTGCAAAGTCACGCACATAGACGAAGCCGGCATTGAATAGGGGGGAGGGCTACATGGTCAGGTGGTCGAAACAGCAACAACGGCAATGCATGTAAGTAAACAGCGACACAAACACCATCAGCAATAACTGGCGCACCAGGAAAAAGTCCATCGAACAACAACAAACTCGCAGAGTCCATGAGACAAGAGGCAGGGGCACCACTGCTGGGGAGAAACAATACTCCCCAACATCGCCCGCCAACAAGCGTGCCAACAATAAAACAAGGCGGACGCACTTCAGCTGCAGTTACTCGACAAGAATCCCGTACCAAACGGAGACACCGCATGATTCCAGCGGAAACGTTCTAGCCAAACGCCCAGCAAGAGTCATGACACGACCACGACACCACAGTCCATGCCTCCTAAAAATATCCCCACCTGGTTCACGGTGTCGTAAGCGGGGGAGGCCGCAGGTATGACGCCGACGTTGCAGAGGGTAATCGTGAGCAGCATGGTCACCAGGGGCGAGCTCACGGCCGCTCCCCACCGGGTGCGCTCAGACCACAGCCCCGCGCTGGAAGAGGCTATGAGCACCGCCCACACGTACCTACGGCGGCGGCGGCGGCGGCGGCGGCGGCGGCGGCGGCAGCAACGACGAGCAACGACAGGACGATGAATTGGTACCGTTGTATACGAACTCTCATCATCACGATAGCCGTTGCGCAGCAAGCTAAATAGTAATCCCGATACCGGGGTGTGTTGCGCTACCCTGCCCCCAATCCACACCGCCCAATACCTTCCGTCGGGCACCGCAAGCCCGTAAATCGTTTCAATGCCCATTCGCCCATAAAGATGCCGCGTTTTCTCAAGAACTTGTCGCTACCCCTCATGACACTCATACGAAGTAATATTTTCCGTGGAGTGTTATTGACCCTTCAGCGTCGAGGAGCAGGCGGCCCCCTACAGGGTAACAAACTCTTCAGTAATGCGCCTGGCATGTGAGTTCCCAATCGCCGACCGCATACCAACGGTTGGTGAGCAGGGTAGATAAAGCAGTCGCCGCGCCCGTTGTCCCAACTCCCGCCGCTGCAGCTGCCGCCGCCGCCGCCGCCGGAGCAAAACCGGCCAACGCCAAGGATGGCAGAAGGGCCCACCGTGCAACACGCGGCAACAGCAGGAGGGCACGATCTCTGGTTCCCTCGCCGCCGTCGTTTCCGCACGCGCTTCGATCTCCCATCTTGGGCAAGCCTTCCGAAGCACCTGCGTTGGACATGCCTCCTCTGAACGGGCCTCGACGTGCGAGCATGGCGATGCCCTTCGTGATGCGTCGAGCTCGTTTCTTGGGCGATACTCCGGTCCCGCCTTGGTGTCGGGTGGTTCCTTGGCATCCTTCACCGCTGGCACTTCGCTGTTTGGCGGCGGTGCTGGTCTCGATGACTGCTTGCTGATTCTGAGGGTTTTGCCAGCAACACAAAAAAGACGCCACAGGGCGTCAGGCTAAACCGCTTTCTTTGCACGACCGAGTTGTTGGAGACCAAACGTGCTTGAGGAAAGTGTGGCGGGGGCGTTGCTTCAATGTCATAGGAGCAGGCTTTTACATGGAGGAAGGTGGCACCTCGCCGATCGTCGTCTTGTTAAAGAAGGATGCGATTCGCCGGGGTACAATGCAGCCTTTCAGGGGAAAGATCAACAAACCTCGAGCCTGCAGGAAGGCGACAACAGCAGTCTATAAATAGGAGATGAAACGAGACCCCACAGAAGGAGGTACTCGGCAGAGAGAACGGAACGGTGTAAAACGTGAAGACAACAAACAACAATTGGGCCATCCAGCCCCCCTCTCCCCGCCCTCAAACTGCTATAGAGTCCAAGTGCAGCTCGCGGGCACTACTGCTATTGTCTACTTCACGTCCACACACGGCACGTGGTATTGAGTCTGCTGCTGCGGAACAACGGCGAGGAGAAACATGCGCATCGCAGCGTTACACATGCGTGCTACACCACGCACGATAACAAACGAAACCACCCGAGGAGAAGGCGTTTATTCTGTTCGGACGACAAGGGAGACCTACCTCAAAACGTGGGCGTGAGAACGAAGCTGGCGTCCAGCGGCGGGGCTGGACCATCGTGATGGCGGAAGGAGACGGAGTCAAGCTCGAGGCTGGGTGAGCCTGACGAGAGACAGCGGCTACACCAGCCGACGGAGTGGAGACAAAAGCATGGGCGCCGTGGCTAAGCGAGAAAGGTGAGGAGAGAAGAACGAGAACAAGGATACCGCACTGCACGGTAGTGATGGATCCGTGCATGGTGGTGAGGGTCCGCCCTTCCTCCTGCTGCCGCCCCCGTCGGTGTGCTGCCGCCACCGTTTGCTTTGGCTTTCTTGCCCCTGCCTTTCCTGATCGAACTCAGAGGTCCTGCTGTTGTCCCCACGAACGGATGCACCAAAGGCAGATATTGCTTCGTGGGTTCAATCAACTGTTCTCCCCTCCTTAACGACACAACGACATAGGCCAGCCCCGGCCGTGTCAGAGACAGAGGAGAGGGGAGAAGGGAACCCCCGATGCCGCCCACCGCGCCACATCGCCACAAGCGTCGGTTCCGCGGTTCCGCGTGCGGTGTGTGTTCCTTTTCATCATGTGTCGGGAACCGAGTTTCACCGCTTTTTCTGACTCGATGCAGGCCTGCGTTTCCGTCTCGCGGCAGGCACGCAAACAACACCGCAGGCGGCCCTAGTCCTACGTGAACAGTGAAGAAGGGTATCGACCAACGCTTGGAAGGACAGTAACTGCTAGCATCTTTGCCAGAATCATCATGGCTGCCAATGGTGAGTGATCCCGTATCGCGGGTTCCCTGTGCGGTCGTGTGTGCACAGCAGTGTCGCGAAAACGCGCCCATGTTTTTTCGTGCGGGACATAGCGATACATCAACTGCCAAACACCCGCCTGCCACGTGCTGCCCAGAGTACCCCACCACGCGTAGGAAGGAGGGCCAGCTATTCGAATGGACCTGGTTGTTGAATCAGCGATACCTCGGGAATGCCGATCGGCGCGAGTGCCGCTGCCAGCAGCAGTTCGCCAACACCACACTTCGAGCAGAACAACGTGCAGCCGGAAGTGCAGCCCATTCGAACATGAGTGCACAACAAACGATATGTACATGCTCAGATATAGCTCCGCCGCCGGCGCTATCGAATACTACATCCTACCACATGGCAGCCTAGTATGTAACCTGTGCTTGTTCGTGAGACAGAGTAAGGTTTTGAGCATTGCTGAAAATATCATTGTGCATCGCATCGTACCAGTGCGGATCAAGATGTACAGCAGCGTATGGATGTACAGCGGTGTTTGGTTGTTTGTCGACACGCTGTTATGGAAGAGCTCCACACTGCAGGCTCTGCGAGTGCGTGCCTTGTTAGGGTATGGTGGCCTTATCGGGCACGCAGCAGAAAATTCCTCGGTAATGAGGCTCCAGTGGTATCGAGGCTTACTTGTGCATAGGACAGACAGGCTGACGCAGACAGCACTCACGCAGTACGTGCAAGGCCACGACTGTCCTCCTCCTTTGCAACGGTCTTCCGTACTGCTGTATAACAAAAAGTCCTGCATATGGCCCCTCTCTGTTGTGGGTATTTGCCCAACCCACATACAGGAGAGTTAAGCACGCAGTCATTACTGTAGTTTTTGCCTGTTCCCTTTTTTTTCTGCCTGTGGACGAAAATATTTCGCTAGCCCAAAAGAAAATTACACACCCGCCCGCCCGCCGTAAGCGCAACTGTTGTTGCCGCGTGCTGTATTGTAGTTATTTTCGCAACAGGTGCCCCGCGAGTCGTTCGCGTTTGGATCCGTGGCACCAAGGCAAACTCATGTTTCACAATGATTGCGGTTCTTACATCAAGAGTATATGCCATGACAACCTCTCCTTCAAGCACTGACGAAAACGCGAGTAGACGGCAGGTACCGATGGACTTTTTGCAGGGACGCTGCTTCAACCACGTATGGTACATTGTCGTCTTACCCTTTCCCTATATGCTCCTTTTTTAAGGCGCGAGTGGATCCACACCAGACACCGCCGGTTCAGCGGTGGTGGTGACCAAGCTAGACTTCACGTACGACGGCATGGACAAGCCAGTGCTCAGGAAGTTCGACCTCGACCTGCCCAAAGGAAGCAGGTATACATCGGACGATTGCTTTTGCTGGTGGTGGTGATGACGCTGCTACTGACTACGGTGGTTGTCGCTGCGGAGACCACGCTACGTGGGTGTGATTGTCGTGATATGCCGCCCGCGGAAGCGTTCGTAGCCGCTAAAAAAAAATAATAGTCAGATCAGATCTCCAACGAGTTGTCATCCATCCAATGTGCGGCAGTTATCCCTAGTGTAGTTCTGCTCTTTGTTATAGAAGGTTAGATTTGTTGTTGCCGCGACAGCAATCGTTTCTCTCCAATGCACGACCGGATAAAGGAGATCCCAGACACCTACCCGCGAACAGACTTCCTTGCGGTCTGACTGATGACGCGGTCAAATCGAACCATTGGATCTTGTTACAGGTGTCTGCTGATCGGACAAAACGGCGCGGGCAAGAGCACGCTCTTGCGCTTGCTGGCGGGGAGGCATATCACCAAGCCCGACGAGGCGGTGATTGTTCTTGACAAGTGAGCAAACCAAGGGTTTCTAGAAATGTTTTCCACATCAAAGCTTAATTATGGCATGTGCTAGTACGACATTACCTGTTGGCAGAGGTCGTCGCCAAATAAACCTCCCATCCCAGCGATCGAAATGGCAAACAAATGCTTTGCGCATTGGTTTCCACATTTAACGTTTCATTCCAGCGTGTGTTACTTTTGCGATGGCTTGTGTGCAAAGGGCATCAGCGAACGAACCTCTCATTTTAGCGATCGTAACCGGCCGGGGCATAACCCTATTCTGCAGTCTATATGGGAACCGCTCGTGTTTCCGTTGCGTTTGTTGTGTGAGAATCGGTCGGAGAAAGTCCTCGCCCTCAGCGGATGTGCTTCATTCTGGGTGGACACTTTGTGAATGTATTATGAAGCCCACGTTACACGCTGCCTCCGATTGGACGCCGTTCACGGCTGTCCTTTCACGTTTCTTTATTGTTGGGAGGAGCTTATGCTAGCCCTGAATGGTAGGCACGTTCATGACTGGTGTGCCCCACTCTATTGATCGATAAGACATCTCCCCGCTGTCTATCTTTGTTCGACCTTGGTCACGGTTTTCCCGCTTGGGTCGCGATCTGCTCCACAGGCACGCGTTCCGGGATACTATCCTCAACAAGCACAGGTCCTTCTTGTCCATGGACTGGGGCATGCGCACCATCTCCTTCGCGGGTGAGAGGATGGTTTTGCTGGGTGGCGACAGCGGAGGACGTACAGCACGTTTCTGTGTATTTTGTCGCTCATGTTCGTACCGTGTGTTGTAGAATAGGCCTTGTGAGTAGTCCGCGAGAACAAGGCTTGATTTCTTGTTCGCATGTGAAAAGTGGTTGTTATTTCCCAGAGTCTGGAATAAGTTTGATCAGAGAGGGACGGACCCCTGTAGCACGTTGCTGCTGCGTTTCCTACGAGCCTGCGTGCGACACAACCAACTAAACGATTGTGCCCTCCCCCCTTGGTTTTGGTTGATGGCTGAGAACAGAACCAACCCTAAGCCGGAACCGGACATTGGATACTCACACACGAGTCGTCGCACCACGAAGATTGTTTTTTTTTATAGGATACTCCGTACTCCCATGACAAGGCCCTGGTGTCATAGTGACTGGTTGATGAACAAGACAGGTTAGGTCAGACTAAACATGGCAGCAACATGCGGGGGATCGTTTGAGGTGGGAACGAAATCAATACTTAACCTATCGAACAACTAACGAATTGTGCAATAACGCGCAACCGGCGCATGAATCATGATTTCTTGACTTTGACCGCTGCCACAACACTCCTGAACAACAAGATTCCCACCCAGTGAAATTCATGTCATGTTGATCTTGTGGTATGTGTTTTTTTTTTGCAGGACATGGGGTTCCCCTCCAGGCGGACATTGCCGTGGGTGACATGATGAAGAAGGACCAGGAGCGGTACCCGGAGCGGAGAGAGGAGTTGCTCAACATGCTCGGCGTCGACCCGAACTGGAGGATGCACCAGGCAAGCAAGATACATGAGGCGTGCGTGATTGTACATACTGACACATTTATGTGCTGCCTTCCTGTGTTCCACGTTGTTACGTTTCTGAGTTTCAAATTGTTGGTGTTTTTCTCTCTGCTCGTTGTTTTGTGCCTTAGTCACTGCTATGCTGGTTCTCTGTTTCTTCCTTCTCACACCAGCTCGTGGAAGAAGCCTAGCCCAGGGCCATATACGCGAAGGGCCTTACAGCTGTTGATACGTCATTTGAGTCAAATATTTAGCGTCGACCTTGCCAGCATGTTGACAAGCCGAGACCCGGCGACCCATGGGTACGTTGACGGAAAAGCTCGTATTCTCTAGTGCGTTGTTTCCTCTCTACCATGGATATTTCCTTTTGAAGAACACTGCGATTGTTTCCCCGCCACCATGCCGTTTCTTTTGGAAGGGCAGGTTTCTGACGGACAGAGGAGGAGGGTCCAGCTCCTGCTCGGCCTGGTGAAGCCGTTCAAGCTCCTCCTGCTTGATGAGGTCACCACCAGCTTAGGTACGCGCAAGGCAGCGGTCGGCCTTGATTCCCCCCGTTTTACACGGAAATTCCCCTTGAAGCTGACGGGAAATTTATAGTTCACGTCGCGGAGGTTGAGAATAGTTGGTCAAGTTCGCAGTAACAAGCGACGCCAATATCCGCAGTTATCTCACGTGTGGCTTCTTCTCTCCGCCCCCGCATCTCTTTTGTTTGACCCCAAAGCTGTGCCAGCCATGTCTTTGCCGATGTCGCTGAGCTTCTGCCACATCTCCCTTGCTTGTTTTTGCAATTCTATGTTCTCCGGATGCAATCGAAAAGCTTTAGTCTCGTCACTGTTTCTTGTATCCGGGTCCAAACCTCACGTCCATGTTTTCCTTGCTGGACGAGACGTTTCATGTGCGTGTCGATTGGCCCGCAGTGTGGCTTGCTTTCGTTTGCCGTGTGTTGTTCCATGGTTTGGTAGTTGGTTTTTCGTTTTTGACTGTGCGAGCGAGACAGGCAATCGACTGCTGCTGTTATGTAGCGAGAACTTTCCTCTTCGTATTTCTGTTGTGTGCTTTTTTCAGCGCGTTCGTTCTGAAGACGAGAAAACAAAAAAGCCATAGAAATCTCACCAAAATACAAACTTGTCAACAGTTTCTCTGATATGTTTGTGGTGTCCAGGAACGCGGTGAAGGCTAGCCTCCCCTCCCCGTCAAATCGCTACCTTCCCGCGGTTGAACTGCCTGCTGCAAGACCGACTTGATATGTGTCGTATTTTTCCTTGTGTGCCCTAGTTTGCGCGTGCTCACTGCCTGCTGCACGCTTGATATTTCTGTCTGCGCGGGCGGGGGCTCTCCGCAGACGTCGTGGTTCGACAAGACCTGCTGCACTGGCTCCACAAGGAGAGCGTGGAGCGGGGTGCCACCATCATCTACGCCACCCACATCTTCGACGGGCTGGACGAATGGCCGACCCACCTCACCTACCTCACCAGGGACGGAAGCACGGGCTGGCAGGGACGGCTGGAAGACCTGGAGCTCAACCGACAAATGAAGGAGGTGCGCGCGTGCACCCTTGCTTCCGGGCTGCTATGTAGTCGTGGTCGGTCGATGGCGCTGGCACTGTCGAGTACTTCCCGCACGATGGGCACGCGGCTTTCTCAAATGCTTCCCAGGCCCTTGCGCTTGTTTGAGTTGGTATCTTGTGTACTCTCTTCCCGCGGGCACTTTCCTCTCTACCCCCCCGACATTCCATGGAAGAGCCTTTCACACGAGGAGCCCCGGAAACATATCGGGTTCTTGGGTTGGGGGAAAATGTTCTTGCCCGAGGTAGCATAATTTGCTGCTGTAGGATGGGTTTACATCACGCCCTCGCGTCCACCGCTTTCTGTCGTCCTCTCTCTCTTGAACTGACTCCGCTATGCAGTGTACCGGACACCCCTGTGCACCTCGCACTCTCCAAGCAGTTGGTTTTCGCCAACGGTGGGCCGCAAGAAGTGCGTGCGCCCGCTGTCACACACCTCATCTGACGCCACGCACGCCCGATCCGACTGCTGCTGCTTCTGCTTTTCTGCCCTGTACAATCGTCGTTGCAAAACCTGTCGGGGCCGGGAAACAATGACAGAGGGGCGAGACTTGCACCCTCCTGAAGGTTGCAGTTCACTGGCTGAGGGGGGAGCAGGAAGAATACAGAAAGGAAACCTTGGAGCGCAGGCGGCAGGTGGAGGAGTCCGGGGGGTCTGACGCCATCCGCAACCGCAACCCCAACCTCAAAGCATGTACGTGCCGTGAGTTCTTCTGGTTATGTTCTCAATGTTACCCCTTATGTCCAATGACATCTCCGCTACTTGTACACAGAGTCAGTTGCCGCGGATCGGCTGTCGTTGATTGATTTGTTTGTTGGTCAGACGGCTTCCTACAAAAATATCCTTAAAAAGTTCTCCAACTACTATAATACCAGCAGTTTTTTGTCCTCCCGAGTATTTCGATTTGTTTCAAGCTCAAGTTCTCAAGTGCTACTTGCTGAAGTGCGAGCGCGTTCTATACCTCATGTCTTGTTTTTGCGCCACGTTTGCATGTTCCGTCTCCAGACGTCGCAGGGGGAGGGTTCGCACCGGGACGGATGGCCCATCAGGGTATCTGAGCAGTTTTGAGGCACCGCCTCGCAGCCGCTGGCAAGTAAAAGGCGGGCCGTTGTCTTGTCGGGTAAACTGAGAATTCCCAAACATATCTTGGAAGTCAGCACGCCCTGCGTCAAATGTAGGGTATACGGATGGTGTGAGAAAAGGAACAGACATGAGCTAACGTACCGTCCAGCCGAATGTCTCCGTTACAAAATGCTTTACATTTTGCGACACCCAACAATCCGGTGATGCTCAAACACGAAGTTCGCCGATCACTGCGGCGTAACAACAAGATGACTACCCTATGAAGAGAGATGTTCAAGCAGTTCATCCATGGGTCGGATATTTCCTATGCATACGCTCTAGATAGTTTGTTGTTGGATCGTTTTTGAACTAGTGTAAGGGTTGGGTTGAAAGAAAGTGCAACTGGTGAAGGTGTAGCTGGGCCTACAAAAAACCGTCTCGTGGCTCTTGAGTGTTGGTATTTTTTTCATGATGTATGTTCGTGGTGCATGTGTGTTGAGTATCTTCCCGAAGTTTTCTGGAATATACGAAAGGGGGGATGCCCTGTCCTTACCCGCTTTGGGGGCAAGCCAAAATGGCGAGCGTTTTCGGGATGAGCGAGTAGCTGTTGGTTCAATTCTTCAAACGCACCGGTTGCGCCGCGTGACACTGGGTTGTCTGCTTCACTAGAGTAGACCAGAGTGAGCTTCTTGTTTTTTGTGGTGAAGTCAAGCGAACGCGTCATGGGTTGGTCGGTCTGTGTCGGCATAGCACTAGATACGTATATTTTATTGAACGTACGAACGTCGCGATCGAGTCGACCGCAGACTAAAACAGCGACCCGTCAGACGTGGGACACGCCGCCTGGAATGCCTGTCACCGCCAATGAAACACTGCTGTTATTGTGGGATGGGCGCGCTTCACTCGGTGGCCGGCCTGAACTCAAAAAGACGACAGGAGCCTATAGGCATTGCCTGACGAACACCATCTGTGGCCGATGTGGCTCGCGGTTGCCACAACCCTCTCCTAGAGATTGGCACGCCTGGACTGCACGAGATGCATAATATTGCGAAGCTTCTTTTCAGGGTGGGGATGTTCGCAAATAGCGAAGTTGGGCAGTCTGTTCTGTGATTTGCCTATTACCGAGTCACGGCGTGGTGTTTGTCCGTAATACTCAAAGAGCTATTTTCTGGTCGTTGGTAATCACTGCCGCCCTACATATCAAGACACCTGTGCCCTTACATAAACGAAGCTCCGCTGCTCATCAGCATCCTTCCATCTATTCTCTGGCAGGAGCGTTGCGGGGTGATGGCCGTGCCCGTAGAAGAGGCCAGGTCCAACATACCCCGAAAATTGTCGTCGTTGCAGCCATAGTGCAGATCATCGGTCGCTCTACATTCCTCGATTTCCGCCGTTGCCAGCAGCAGTAGTGCACAACAATCCAAACGGAGAGAGAGAGGTGGGTCGGAGGGGAATCTTGCTACCTCATGGTCTATAGGCAGAGAACTGCCTTGCTTATTGCGAAGTCTTCAAATCGTCCTACTTCGAGAGTGCCGCCATGTTCTTGTGGTTCTCGCAGTTCGGAAGGTTTTGCATTGTCCAAGCCTGCAGAGATTCATTTGAGCACGCGATCGTTCAAATTTAAGGAAGAAATGAAAAAATGTGGGCCTTCATTCATTCGGCTGTGTCCTCCGGGAATCTGAATGAAAACGTACATAGATAGACTCCTCCCACAACAGACTTGTATATCTATACCGAATGAAACGAATACCTAATCTACAAGGCGCGCTGTTGAAAACGACCATTTGGGGTATAAGCTATCTTTACCAGGACCTTTTCCGCGGGGACGCGGCAGAGCAACACCGAGCTTGTTGTTCACTTGTTCACACAACAAGCTCACCGACGGGGGGCTCGTGGACGGCATGCGTTGCACACACCGTCTGTACGTCCAGCCGCCGCGCCGTAGCCCCGCCGCCGCCCCCCATACATCACGGCCTCATATCCCAACACGTCCTCGGATCTACGTTCCCATTTCCTCTTTCGGCGCCGACAGCATGCAACGACCCTCTCTGCACCATCTCCACACCTTGTCCATACTTGTACTGCTACATCACTGCCTCGAACATGCAGTCGTCACAGGGCAGCAGAACTCGGGTCATGGTGAGAGAAATTGCGCAGATTTTTCCCCGATTGGCTAGATGTACATGAGACAACACGCTACCGCCCGTGGTACGCGGGAAAACGTGTACTACATAGCATACCCTCAGCAGTGGCACGGGCACTGCTAGGTCGGCGCCAACTGATGGGAACAGCAGACACGAGCGTCGACGCCAACGGCCAAGTGCTATGCCGGCATAATTGTCGAGATGAAGGGACACCTTTTTTTCGTCGATGGAAGCATGTTCGGGTTCGGGAGGCGTTTTTCAAGGGACCATAGTGGACACATCCCCGGGCCAAAAAGTTTGAACATTTACATTTGGACCGTTCCTCCTGCAAATCCACTCGCTGCAAAGACTTCAACACTTCCCCTTCGACTGTGGTTATATCTGGAACGGGTAGGTTTTTTGTGTGCATTGATTTTCCTAATCACCTGCGGCGTGACTCGCTGTATTAGTCTACGGTAGTCTCGGTACATTGTAGGTGTACTACCTCATGATGGCGCCGCATACATACATAGACTACTGCTGTAGCGCAGCACAACAGTATACATGTAAAGCAGTGCGTGTGGGACAAAAACTACATATAAATATAAACACAAGCCACAAGCCACAGCCGCATGGTGCATACCTGTCACACCCCGATGACTGGAAAGAAGAAGGCGTCGCCGTGCAGAGACACGACGTACTATCTGAGACGTTCCAGCACGCCAGATGGACATACATATCTATGTGTGTGTTTATGTAGGCCAAGGCAAAGGGTCCCTTTTTTCGCGGCTCTCAGTCCTCCTCCTGCCGTGTCTGCCTGATATCATCTCATGCGCAGACCTTGTCTCGGCGATGGTAGCGAGAGTGCGACTCTGAAGGACTTTTTCCAACGAAACGTCCGGGTTTCAAACCCGGCATCCGCTGCCGTGTATTTCCTCTTCTTACTTGTTTCCCTTTTTTTTACCTCCCGATGATTTGATTTTTATATTTCCCTGCATGCAGTGAGTACGCGCATCATCATGCATGAAATGCATGCCATGACTGCTGTGACTGACCATCATCAACACAACAATAGAAGTCTTCTTCTTGTATTCAACAATAATCTATCCCATGCTGCTTGCTGGTGGGTGGTCTGTAGTTGTTGCAATCATGATACTTTATTCCACACACACACGAAACGATAGACTACAGCTGTTATAGTCTAATGTCTAATTTTGATTGATTCCCAGAGTTAAGGAAAAATAAATACACGGACAGAGAGACTATCCATTCGAGATACCCATAGTCGAACGGGATGTGGTGGAGTCTTTTCAGTGAGTGGAGGAAAACCGGCTGGGAACGGGACTTATTTCGAGTCTTTTTAAGTCTATAAACTGATGATTTATATCAGTGATGCCAGCTGGTGCTAAGTACAAAAAAACATCTGTATCGGTGTCCTACATTTTACAATACATCCCCTGTAGTTTTCTACTGGTTCAACGACAAAATATCGGGGAGAATCCCTCCGTTGTGTGTGTGTTATAAAATGTAACCTTCACAGGGGACACGGCGCAGTGTCTACTGATAGCTTGCTGGTTTGTTAGATTTTTGAACAATGCTGTAAAAATTCATGGAAGATGGCACGAAGGCTACAGCAGTATATTCTTCGTTTTTCAAATCTACAGACAGATTGTTGAATTTACAGATTTTTGAATTTTACGAGCAGCGGCTGTTTCCCGCCGTTTTTTTAATTTTTAAAAACGTATTTGATCCTTTCGGGTAGCGTATCAGTGATGCTTGGATGAGAATGGTACACCTGGTGCATGGTAGGGAGGGCATAGCATTCAGTTTGTATCATGTTAGCTTGTTTCTTGTTATGTTTGGTGTTAGTAAACAACATCATCAGTAGAGCACGGTAAAAAGCTACGTACATACATCCAATGTGTACGGTTGTTGTCAACTTCCCTGGTGTTCCTCAGAGCGGTTTGCCGAAATATCTTGTCGCAACCATGTCGTAATCATGTTGTAGAGCATCCGTCGTGAAGGTCAGCAGCAGCAGCAGCGACTGGCAGTACCACTGGTGGCCAGAGGGGCAGGTTGGGCACGAACTACAACCTGGGGGGGGGAGGTTGGGAGGCCGAGTCGACCCTGAACCCATTTTTTCTTGAGGCTTGCAGCCCGCCGTGTTGATTGCAATAACGCCACTATCCAAGATGCGGGATACCTTGCACGCTTTGGGCTGCAACCTCTCTACAACCTCCCCCCCCAGGTTGTAGTTGGTGCCCCAACCTACGCACAACCTGCCTCTGGCCACCCGTGTAGGTCTCTCCGTGTGGAGAAGAAGTGGTGTGGTACGGCGAAGGATACAACACGTAGAAATTACCCACCTGGATGCACAGCGATCAGCAGAGAAGACGATGTGTATCAGCCGCGAGGTCAATATGGGAGAGCACACCTTAGCACGAAACCCGATACAGCCTTCCCGCCTTGCCTCAAGTCTTATCGGAGGGGCTACATATGTGTTACCACGGCAGGGATCCGAATGCCGGCTGCTCCGAACACAATGGGAGGCTTGCGGTAGGGATCAAACTGGGAATGTGCACAAGGGGCTTCCCGACCACGGGCTCAACTGCAGATTTGGAGGCCATCAAGGTGTTGTATTTTCACCTGGTCATGTGACGTCGTTTTGGTCTAAGTTTTAGAAGAAATTTCACTTGGTCATGTGACGTCATTTGTGATCCGAGATTAGAAGAATTTTGTTGCAGCAATGATATTTTGAGAGTGTCAACCTTGCAACGCCGTCTTTATTATGGTTATTCACCAACTCTAGGTGTTGTGGTGACATCTGCTTGGGACTACTGCTGCCTCAGCGAACCCTGGATAATGTTTTCGGAATCGAAATCATCCCTTCTCGGACGACTCCGTACATGAGAGGAATCACAAATCTAGGCATGCGCATGTAATACATGCATAGTACGTGTGAGATATGTACAGTACAACTCTAACGCCGTAACGTCTGGATGGTCGAGGCTAGAAACTGCACTGGCCGTGGATATCGCTCATGTCGCTTGTACTGCCATTATGCGCTTTTTATCACGGAGCGGATTGATTGCTACACCAACATGGCCAACCCGTTGAGTGGCCAAATTGTCAATCTGGCTCAAAACGGGTCTTCTCGTTGCTCACCCTCGCCAACGTCACCTGGAATATGCAATTTTGGGGTGCATTCGATCCACGCAGGTTCCACAGCAACCGACGTCGAAAGAGATCCCAAACAACGCAGAAGCAGCACGGACGCGGATGCCAATTTTTCCCGAAGTTGGGACAGCTATTTTCATTCTGGACCGGCTGGGTGTCAGCATGAAGAGGGGACTCCGAGTACCTACCGGTGGCGAGGAACTGACTGGGGCAAAAACCTTGACGGCGAGTTTAAGCGCCGCGATTTCTATGGCCTTGTTATGGTGGCCTTTGTTGAATCGTGGTTGTATTTTTGTCGCCATGACCGCCGCCGGTTTCCCGCCCTCCAAATCAAACCATCAAGCTTTTCTTCCAGGAAAACTGTGGCCTGGTGGGTCCCTGTCACCCTTTCTTTCGTCAATTTGTTCTGAAGAACCGCCGTTACCCGCGACAACGTGAATCGCGAAAAAGTGAACGGTTTTTCCCCGACGATACTCGACTTTCCCGGCATTGTGGGCCCCGACGGCATTGCACAGGCCACACCTCACCTCGGATGTGCGCGATGCTCGTGGCACGAATATCTCGCAAGGATCGGAAGCTAATGTTGCTGGAACCCACCCCTCGATCACACAATAGTGCAGTCCGTCTTGATGCTTTTCTCTCGCAGGCCTGGTGCTAGCCTGGACTCACGCGATCTCAAACGGCAACGGCGACATCGCGGTTGTGGTCGAGCCCGATGGTCTCGCGCCTGAAGGCGGCGCGTGCCCCGCCGACAACGAGCACGGAGACGAGGAGGCTGGTGGGTGGCCGCGCTTCTTCACGCCGATGGCGCACCTCTGCGTGTTCAGCTCGCAGCAGGTGTGAAATGCTGCGTGTTGGATTTATTCCGTCCCCACGCGAATAGAGTCGGTTGACATCTTGCTACGTTACATTGATGCGAAATCACGAAGGTTTGTTGTCAGCACGTTACCTCCCTACGACAATCGTTCTTTAGACCGGGAACACCCGATCGGTTCCAGTGTGCATGGCACGTGCATGTGTATGTGCAAGTGATACAATACTGTTCCCCAAAATTTCCCGGTTGAGGCAGGATTTTCACGACTTCTTGGCTACTCGAGACCTAAACCAACCGCCAGATGGGCGACACCTTGGCATGGACGAAGACGAAGGCGGTGACCCGCCGCATGCCTGGGGTCAGGACCCAGACATCAGAAAGGCCCTGGAGGGCACGGCGACGGATCAAGCACAGGCAATGGCGGTCAGTACCACAAAAGTGGCGTGGTGGGGGGCTTTGTTTTTTTTTTCTCTGGCGTGTACTACTCTTCCAATGAACGGAAGCTTACAAAAGTGCAGGATTGGGAATTATCGGGGCTTATGACCAGCATGCGGCACTTTTCTCCTCATTCTTGTTATGGTCACTAGTGATCCTCCACGAACAAGTTACGCCTCCTCTATTTCGGCCATGAGATCTCCCCCCTACGCAGTACAGCCCCGTTGGTTGGGTGGTGGTTTGTGCGGGGCTAGTTTGTTGAGTTCGCGGCGCTAGGTCCCTCGGGCGCCATCACAATTTCTTCGTTGAAGATGCATTCCAGCCGCCCACCCATGTCCCCCGCCGCGTCACGTTTGATTCCGTATTCTCGGAATCCTCCTCGATCGATGCTGTCATGGCAGAGGGTCCTACACTACTTGCTCTCGCACGTCCAACCGCGTCTCCAAGGCAAAGTTCAGGCTGTCCTTCATGAGCCGGATGTAGCCTTTTTCTCCGACAAACCTGGGAAGTACGTGGGCATGTTCGTACGCAAGACGGAAGGGCGGACGTACAAGTCACTCAAGATGACCGAAACGTTGGTGCGGGTTTGGTAATTCGTTGGTGGTTGTCTGGCTTGGTTTTTGCAACCCGCCGGAAGGAATGGGTCATGGTGACGCAAAGCGCTGGTGGGCCCCCACCGAATCGACTGCACACGTCTGACTCGAGCCGGGAGTCAATTTCAAACCCACATCGTCATGTGGTTTCCCTTTCGATCTTGCTTGGTTTGCTGTACCACCTACGAAGGGCCTGGTTGCCCCTCTATCTGACCATAACCCCGCCCAGGACTGTTTCGAACCAGCCAACGAGCTCCTTCGTGAATTATGAACACGTGTCAATCATGTCTTTCGTCGTTTACTCCCTTCCTATGGGCACACAACTTATTTTTTTTTGTGGTGCCCCAAGAGTCGTCTGTCTGCTCGAACACGGTGCCCGGACACGATGCATTTTTCGAAGTATAACGGACCATTTCTTGCGACAAGACGTCAACGACAACGTTACCGTTGCAACGAACCTCCCGCGTTCTCCGTCAAATCGAAGGATTGCTTCGAAAAAGCGTTCAAGTACATCGAAGACTTGGACAGGTTCTCGGCCGGTCATATCAGCTTTTCGGAGATTACCGGAATTTTCTTGGTCTCCGAAGACACCACTGCCCTGCCAGAGGCCAAGAGTATCGTGCGCCGGTACTTTGGAAAAGTAAAGAGTGATAAGGTTGTTCAGCTGGTTGCCGCTGATCCGGGGCCGTCCGCCACGGAGGGTGAGGTCGATCTGCGCAGCAGTTGTGGAACCTCCGATGGCGAGGTGAGCTGCTCGGTAGGTTGTCATCTGTTGGGCTCATTGAAAGCGATCGATCCACCTGGGGATCGAGTTATGGTGGTGTGCGTTGGCCCGGAAACGGTGCCCCCTTCTTCTCAAGCTATGTTCCATCAGAGAGGCAACATGCTCGTAAAGATGGGTTCCTGTTGTGACCATGGACGTGTCACACGGACAAACCGACAGTAGGCCACCACAGCAGGCTACAAAACACATGGAGCTCTGCATGGGTGTCTGGAACGGAGTTGGTAGGATAGCGGCGTGCTAATTTGTTTTTTTGTGTGTAAGACGCATCTTCCATTTTCTTCTGTCCCTCGCAGCGCACATGTCATCGGAGCACAACATCACGTAATAGTTATGTGCCATCGCCCGCTTTTCGTCGTCGTGCGCATCTCCACCCCTACGGTTTCAAGCTTTCACCGATATACCGCAGCGGTGCCCCCTACCGCCCCACGTCCCCCCCCTTGTCTGCCAACCCCAGTGGGTGCCTACTTCCAAAACAAGCTTACCATTCGCCCTTTCCCTTTTGCCCTCCTCCGACTACCCCGGCCAACAAATAGAGAGAAATGGCGTTGAAACAGACTCTGGTGGAGTTGCAACTGTTGGCACAAGCCGACGTGTTCGTGGGAGTTGCCTCGGAAAGCTTTAGCAAGCTCGTGTTCCTCATGCGAGAGACCCTCCAGTTCGCCAGAAAGACATCGCTCAGCATGGACGAGACGACGCCGTTTCCCGGGATGTTCCGCTAGGGGATGACCTCTGGCTACGGTGGGCAGCTTCACCCGAGAAAAACCTGACTGCGAGAAAGGCGCTCGTCATCGAGGATGGACCAGCCCGTCCCATGCCGAAATGGTGTCGTCGGGAATTTCGAGGTGCCTGCTTCCCCCGTTCCCTGTTCCTAGGTTGTGCCGAGATACCATCCGGTATCCCAAGAGCGTGGATCGTAGCCCCGAAACACGAACAAGGAAGCGCACAAGGCAACACGTTCTCCGTCAATATATGGGGAAGAAAGAGAGCTCAATCAAGTGTTGCAGGCGTTTTCGTTTGGAACTGGAACGATTGGCCCAACGATTTTCCGTCACAAGCTGGATGCGTGGTGAAACGACCAATCGGCCAGAAACACATGAGCGCTCCACCGCGCATTCCATTCGTGGGTGGAACGAGCGTTCACTTCGACGCCCTCACTCACTCACCGTGGACGGCAAAAAAAAACGTAACCTACATAACGAAGCAAGCACTTTTACCTGGCCCTCACTGTAGACTAATCCAACCATCGTTCACCTACACACACACGCTACGACACTGTGACGGCCCCGAACGTACCAACCATCGGTCTGCTGTACGTTGAATATATCTGCCGTCCGGAAGTTTCCCACACCCCATGCTCGTGATCAGTAGACAAAACCGCTCTATGTATTGTCCCATATGCAGCATGCATGCATGCATATCGCGCCCGCAACCAGGAATGAATGAATTATTTAGTCGCCATATTTTTTGCACAGGGTTATATTGTTACCTAAATGACGAGTTTAGCGTAGGATCTACATATATCGGTCTCCACCACCAAAGCGGTGTTTCTCGACCCTAGTTTCTTCGTTTTCAGGAGAATTTTGATGCTTGCTCCTTGTTGGCGGAATAATATATATGCCCGTTCCGCCGTCGGCGTGTAAGCGCGCAGCAAAACACGTGGTGAGTGAGTTTTGCCCCTCCCTGTTCTGCGAGCTACAGTAAAGCTCATTGCTAGCGCACGGAGACTAGCGCTTGCGCTGAAAGTTTCCTGCATTAGCCCAGTGTGAGGAGCGACTTTTATCTCATTTTCGTGCGCCGCGCCATTATCGCACACACGCGCAGACCATCAATTATATGTTATTTCTTCTTTGTGGGAGCAATAACTAACTGCTGTCTGTCTGTCCGATTGTTGTTGTTGTTGTCTTCACATTAAAAACCGTTCCGATCTCTCTCTACCCAGTACCTTCGTATGTCCGTACGGATCCAACACTCGACGCGGTCGATTCCCGTGGTCACAGTTTCACTTACTCTAAAAAGGTCAACTCAAATAAACCTTTGGACCCGAGGGGTCCGCAAGTCAATAGAAATCAACGACAGATATTCTGGAGTCCACCAGGGGTCTTCTTGTCTTTCTTCCCACTTCCCATGCAGCCTTACGTCTGACTAGAGATCGATATCGTGCGTCTGACTAGAGATCGATATCGTCCTGTGTGTGGCGGCCGTTGCGATACAACTGAGAGAAGCGTTTATCTAGTGCTTGAACAACGCGGTCGCGCGTCTTGCTGACCCTTGCACCCTTGCACCCTTAACGCAGGGGGCGCGCAGAATACAATTGTGAAATATCACATACCTCTTTTATGTATACTTTCATTCGCGAAGTCTCCGCTCGTGAAGGCTGCAGACTGCAGACACAGCACACACACATTGGGCAGCCGTGTGAAAGAAACCAAGCAAGTGAAGTCAAACCAGTGGAGGCGTTACAGATCTACTGCGTAGTCGTGAGACCTTTTTCGGCCTCACGGTGATTGAGTGCGTGTGTGTGGCCAACAGCTTGTGAGCAAAGCAGCGCGCAGGCAGGTGCCCCATGGACACTGGAGGAGGTGGCGGAGGCGGGGTGGATGGAGGGCTTGCATCAGACGAACGACCCGGTGGGACCCGGCTAGACTTTGCGAGCAACGGGCAGCCCGCCGGGGGCGCGGAAGGTGAGGCCAGCTTTGACCACGATATGCCTCTATTTCTACTGCTGGGGAGGTCACACGACGAAATGCTACATCAGGTTGCAGGCTAAATACCCACAGCAGAGGGTATCCAACGACAGCAACGAGCTGCCTCCATTCTCGGTCGAGCTCACGAGGCCGACCCTACAGATTTTTCCTGATCGAGTGGTTTTTGTTCATCTTTTGAATAGCAAACCGATCAATGCGAGTATTTGTAGCGTTGCAAATTGCCTACTACTCTCCTCTTAGTTGCCCTGGGGCGAGGGACAGGATAGCTGATTACACTGGCTCTTCTCCTAACGACAACACTGGCGAGTATCGCAGGGTGTGTGCTCCGCCCACACGCACGTCGTCATCTATCCCACACGATGAGTCGGCGAGTGGCCTAGTCTGCTGGTTGATCATGTTGATTTGGCGATTTGACAAAAGTTCAAAGTACATCGAAAGACAAGTATCTGCAATACGAGACAGCAGCACTTCGAGGCGTGGAAGGAAGGCGCCCTCCTTGCTGCGATGGGCGTTCGCGAGGCCTGCGGCGTTCTCGCTCTTTGCGCGTCGAAGCTTGCCGCTTTGCACATGCAGGCGCTTGTTTAGCAGGCCATTGTTTTCTCCATCTCTACTGCTGCTGCTGCTGCTACTGCTGCTGCTGCTGGCATGACATGATACATATCCCCCGCAATTCGAGTTCACGTTGTGATACAGACCGGTATACAGCAGTATACCGCTGTAGGACACATGCAGTCACCCCACCCGTACAGCAGCACGCAAGAGAAAAAAAGCGCCGTTAAGCAAAGCTGTTTTTTCGCTGTTCGAGAAAGGTGCATGTCGAGGTACTTCCCCTTGCCACGATCCGCCCAGTTGTGGAGTCATCTCTAGAATATGAAATACTATTTACGTGTATATTGTAGCATAGGCGTGGTAGTCCGCTCGACAGGACCATTGAACCACTCCCTGATACCAACAGCAGTAAAGCGGCACCCACGTATTCCGTGGCACGAAAGAGGGGCGACGCGTGTGCACAGCAGGCACATGCGCTTACCACGATTACACCCGGAAGTGGGTGTCGGGTGCTTAACACGGGGGGTTGATGCGGGAAAACAAGCGGGCACCCTATTTAGGTGCTTGGCAAAGGAGGTGTGCGTAGTTTGTAGAGCAGGTTTGGTGTGTGTGCAGGCAAACAGTAAGAATGATATTGCCCTAGGGGGCATGTGATGATCGCGATTTCTGCGAAGATGCGGTTGCCTGATCACAATCACAGCGAATCTACAGGGCAGTTTAACCCCTGCGCGGTGTAGCTGCGCATGTGCAAACAGCACATTTTTGGTGTATACACCCCCCATCTTTTGTGCCCTTAACCGTTCCACCCTCGAATGCTTGCCTTTGTATGTTCAGCACCCAATCGCCCCCTTTCTTTTTTTGGAAAGTATACATCCATCCATTCAAAATGAAAGACGATCCGTTCGAGATATACCCACAGCAGTCGGAGGGATGTGCCGAAGTCCTTTCAGTGAGTGGAGCGAAACCGGCTGGAAACTCGGCTTATTTTTGAGTCTGTTAAAGCCCGTACACTGAATTTGGTCTTTCGTTTTCCCGTCCATTTGTTGTCGTTGTTGTCGATGTTGTCGAGGTACTGTAGCCTCCGAGAAGCACCGCGCCCCCGACGGTCGACTCGTCGAGATCCGAAACGTGTGGGCGGACAACCTCGAGACCGAGATGGTGATCATCCGCGAGCTGGTGGAGGACTACCCCTACGTGGCCATGGTGAGAGAGCAGCTAGCGCATCGGTCTGCCTGTCCCGGTGTGAAGAAATCGCCGAGCCGTGTTATCTGCTGTGCTCGCGCGGGTGGACACCAGCCCCCCCCCAGACCGACTGTCGTAGCTGGTTTGCTTTACCATAACAAACCAAGAGGGCCTGAAATCCCTGCCGATTTCTAAGGAAGCTCTGCACAAGGCCGTTCCGAAACCACACGGCATTGGTTTTCCTGTTGGTTGGGGAGCGATCGCCTTGGTCTAGCAGCAGGTGGTGCCATCACTCCCAGAACCACGCCTGTTGCCCTGATGTGCCGCAACGGCAATCTTGACTCAAGCTTGCCGTGCCCGTGCGTGTACACGCCGCTATGGTGGGATAACCAGGACACCGAGTTCCCGGGCGTGGTGGCAAGGCCTGTGGGAGACTTCAACCAGCCGGACTTCCAGTACCAGACACTCCGGTGGGCGGGAGAAGGGATCAGATATAGCTTTTGCACCTGAAAAAAATCACGAATAACGGAGGCCTTTTGTGTCTGTGAGACCCTCACAACAAGGAGAAACAGTTAGCACTGCGTCGACGGCCTTGTTTGTCCGTAAGCGGAACGCTAGACACAGAAATAGGCAAGCGATCGGGGCTTGCCTCTTCTCGTTCCACCAGTCTCTCTATATCTCTATCTCTCTCCCCTTAGTTTCTGTCTCTCGGTCGGCCGTCTCGTCCCCGTCTCTCGTTGACCCGGGTGAAGGTGCAACGTGGACATGCTCAAGATGATCCAGCTTGGGCTGTCCTTCGCCAACGAGAAGGGAGAGTTGCCCGAGGATGGCTGCTGCACGTGGCAGTTCAACTTCGCCTTCAACTTGAGGTAAGGGGCGGGGCCTACTTTCCAAGCCATCCAAGACTAGGAGGCGCGCGGGGGGGGGGGGCGTCCTGGGTCCTGAAAAGGGGAGGGCGCCCTGCGAGGGGCACCCCCGGGGGGGGGGGGGGGGGCAAAAACCGGGCAGCCCGAATCCTTTGAACCTTGACCCCCCCTCCCCACAAAACCGGGGGGGGACACCCCGGGGTCCCCCCGGAAAAGGGTCTCCCAACACCAAACGCGAAACCCCCTGGGGGATTTGGGGAATCCCAAGAAGGGGGAACCGCCTCCCGGTAAGGGGGGTCGGGAACTTGGGGTTAATTCCTTGGGTACGGAAGAAACCCACCTATGACTTAATTTTTTTTCTGGGGGTTTCCCTTCCAAAAAAAGTTTTAAACCCTGGGTAACTGCCTCCAGGAAACTTGACCCTTTTAACACAACCGGGGGCGAACATCCCCCGTTGGGCGGA